AAATGAAGAACTCCATGATGCAGGTTCCACAAGGTGTGGGGCTTTGCTTTGATGCAGAACCTTTCAGATCACCAGAACTGTATAAGTAAAGCCTCATCCCGGATCTTCAGTTAATGACATTAAACTTATTTGTTCACTAAGTATTGCTTATATTTACTAAATATTCTTGTCTTGACATCAGGACTTCATGAAGGAATACAGACATCTGTTCATGTATCTCCAGGAAAATCTAATGCAGCATCTTCAAAAGCAGTACGTAAAAGATTAACACCATAGCTGACTACATGAAAGGTATAGTAGTGATACAACTCTCCAACATAAATAAGAACCCACTTTACATTTCCTGAGGAAACCATGGAGTTTTACAAATCATATATGGAGGGTCAATTTTTAATTCATTAAAAATTATATTTTTTTGCAAAGCCTGGAAAGAACTGTAAAAAATCCTTAAGCCTGAGATAACATGCTAAAAGAGGGTGTTTTTCTATGTTAAAAGATGAAGGTAAAAACATATTTTGACTACAGATACTAAACCTCAGATAACCAATGGCAGCAGGAGAGATGCCAAATGGGATCAAATAAACTATGATTATTTGAGGGATGACTCATTGCTGTGTCTGTGGAATTGTGAAAGCAGACACGTTAAAAGAAGAAAAAATACTGCTCAAGGATATAGACTTCTAGCAAATATTCACATTTTCCTCAGCTTCTCCAAAATAGAGTACACACCAAGACCACTGACTTTCCCCCAGTTCCATAGCAGATCACCTGGTGAGACCTCCCCTCCCTTTTGTTTTCATATCCAGAAGATCTTCTCCAACCTTCCCTAATACTCATCCAGTTGCCCGAGCCCCATATCACTTGTTAATAAACCCTACAAATTCCCAGACAACCCTGCCAGACAAGCAAGCAGGCTAGCTAAGCTGGAAGGCAAGCTTCGGATCTTCACTTTCCCTCTCTCCTCCAAATGAAATCCCAGCAGTTTCATCTCCAGATCTGTAGCAGACCTCATCCTCTACGCTCTCCTCACTCTATACCCCCATCCCACTGAAACATCCTGCATTGCTTCCTTTTCTGGAAAATCATGGGCCACCTCAATCCCACTCCAGCTTTCAGCCAATCTCCAATCTTAAAAACTAGTTCTCAATACGCATTCTAACTAGAAATCCCAATAGCCACACCTAACATGAACTCAGAAGAATATGCTTCCAGGCAATGCACAGTGAACAAACTCTCCTAAGAATGACAGAAGGCAGCAGAAACCAATGAATAAAACATCAACCCAACAAAGACCAGACCAGATATTAACACACAGAATGACAATGATCCTAAAGCCATACCCCAAGATTCCAGCATTAAAAACATAATAACAGCCAGGAAAATATGTCTTCTCGAGAGCCCCGCAATCCTTCTAAAGTGAGCACTGAGAAATGCAGCATGACTGAGGTCCTCAAAGAAGAATTAATAAATTCCTTGAATAAATCTATGAAAAGAAAAACACACAGTGGAAGGAAATAAATAAAAGAGTTCAATATCTGAAAGTAGAAATAAAATCAATACGAAAAAAACAAACTGAAGGAAATATAGAAATGAAAATTTTAGGAATTTCAACAAGATTATCAGATGCAAGCATCAAAGAGAATATAAGAGACAGAAGAAAGAATCTCAGGCATCGAGGAAAATACAGAAGAATATGTAACTCTCTCAAAGAAAATGTTAAATATAAGAACTTCCAGACACAAAACGTCCACGAAATCTAGAACACTACAAAAATATGAAATCTATAAATAACAGGAGAAAAGAAAAGAGAAGAAAACGAGATTAAAGGCAAAGGCAACATTTTCAACAGAAAATGTAGATGAAAAATTTTCTAACCTAAAAAGTAAGATATTTGTCCAGGTACAAGAAGCAGAACAGAAACCTAATAGGCTAGATCAGAAAAGAAATTCCCTCAGCACATAATAATCTAAGCACTAAACTTACAGAACAAAGAAGAGCATTAATAGCCTCAAAGGAAAAATATCAACTCACATAAAGGCAAACTAATGAGAATAACACCTGACTTTTCAAGGGAGACCCTAAAATCCAGAGGGCCTAGACAAATGTTAAATAGACTCTGAATAAAAAGATACAAGGAAAGATGTAAAAACAGTATCTATCCTTCTGGTGCATCTAAAAAGTACACCTTAACATCAAGGATAGACATCACCTGAAGGGAAAATGTAATCCAAGCAAATGGACACAAGAAACAAGTCAGTGTAACAACTTAATATCTGAAAAACATAGACTTCACACTAAAGTTCGTAAGACATAGGGAAGGATACTACACTTTCATTAAAGGAAAATTCTTCCAAGACAATATTGTAATTCTTAACATCTCTGCATCTCTAACACCAGGTCACCTATAGAAGAAACACTATTACAGCTTAAACTGAACATTGATAGCAGAACACCTTAACAAACCACTTGCACTGACAAGCACGTCATCCAAACAAAAATTGAACAGAAAAATCCTAGGGATAATACTGTATATCCTATCTGACCACTATGTGTTGCATGAATAATAATGATCCAGAGAGAGATATTAGGGTTCAAGCTTCAAGCTGAAAATCAGAGATGCAAAGCAGGAAGATTAGTAGATCGTAACTCTACCAAGCTGAAACAGCAATTCTCTCTCCACTAATCCTTAGTGGCAAAAGCTCTCAGATCATCTCCTTCTCCTTTTATTTCTTTCTCCACCTCTGTTGCTCTTTTAGACTGATTCAATCCTGTGTATCCCTGAGTAGTCTAGAACTCAAAAATATCCATCTGCCTTTGTCACATGAGTCTTGAGATTAAAGGTGTGTGCCAGCACTGCCTGGCTTCTATAGATACCTAGTAAGGCTGCTTTGCTGTTTTGATCTCCAGTGGTTTTAACAAGGCATAAACAATATATGACCACCACAACTATAGGTTAAAGCTGGATATCAGCAACAACAGAAAGGTGACCAACTCATAGAAATTGAACAACTCACTCCTGAATGAAAAAGTAGTTAAGACAAAAAATTAAAGACTTTCTAGAACACAATAAAAATGAAAAATAACATATCTAAATTTAAGGGACATAATGAGGGTAATCCAAAGGGGCAAGTTTGTAGTACTAAGTATCTATATTATAAAATCTGGGGAGACCTTATACTAGAAAAGTAACATCACAACTCAAAGCTCTAGAACACAAAGAAGAAATAATACCAAAAAGAAGTTGGTGGCAAGAAATAAACTCAGAGCTGAAGTGAGTAAGATAAAAACAAAGAAGCAAAACAATACAATGAAAAGAATAATTAAACAGTTACTTATTTGATAAAATCAATAACATAAGGATATAACTATAGACACTGAGGAAGTCCATTGAATCATAAGGACATCCTCTAAATTTCTAAATTAGAAAAATTGGAGATGAAAATTCAAAGGGGGACCTAGCTATAGACACTGAGTTAACCCAATGAATCATAAGGACATCCTCTAAAAATCTGTACTCTACCAAATTGAAAATCTAAAAGAAATGGAAATTTTCTTGATACATATCACCTACCAAAGTTAAGTCAATATGAGGTAAGCAATTTAAACAGACTTATAACCTCTAGGAATAATTAAAATCTATCAACCAAGAAAATTCCAGGACTAGATGATTTTAGGACTGATTCTACCAGACATTCAGAGATGGGTTAATGTCAATACTCCTCAAATTATACCAAAAATCACAACAGAAGAAATATTGCCCAATTTGTTTTTTGAGGCCACAGTTACCCTGATCACTACACTTCATAAAGTCCAAGCAAAGTAGGGAATTATATACCAATTTCTCTGATAAATATAGATAAATTCTTAATAAAGTATTTTCAAAATAAAAGCTCAATCCAATAACACATCAAAAAGATGAACAAAAATGAACATCTAGATATATTTAGTAGAAATATAACCAAATAGCAATGATACTTTTTCTTAAGTCAATAAATTTCAAAAATCAAGAGAAACAGCTGTAACAAGGGTAAAAGGATGAAAAGTGTCAGGCACTATACTACCTTCCATGTATTTACTTGCCATTTCTTCAATATGTTGACTGAAATATTATATAAAATCTCCAAGAGCCGCAAAGCTCAACATCTAGAACTAGAACACTAGCAAGAAATAGATAATAGGTTGCAGGCTACATTAGGGTTGTCTAGAGACATAGTGTGACAGATCTGGAGAGAAGTCAGGAAGTCATGTGATACCTGAAGCTGTGAAGAGCCAGCTCTGAAGGGAAAGATATCCTGAGTCATCCGGAAGTCAGGAGATATCTGAAACTGGGGGTTGTGGGGATTGTCTCCTTGCAATTCTGCTCCTCTCCAAGAGAAAGTTGGTACAGCTGCTCTGCTCTCTTAAGCAAACATCCTAGCAGAACCACCCTACAAATAGCAGAACCATATAGGTGGTGGTGAAACTTCCTGTGTGAGTCTGCAAGGGGGTGGGGGAATCAGTTCATATAGTTGCGCTGTGAACTCCAAATTGCAGGTGACAAGGTTGGAGAACTAGAGAAGAACTAGCAAGGCTTTTGCCTGAAGGCAGAATTTCATCTCTATTAGAGAAAATTGTTTATTCTTAAAGAAATATGTTTAAGACCCACCCACATTATCCAGAATAATATGCTTTACACATATCTTAGTGATGAACTATTATTCTCATCAAAAATGACCTCCCAGAGCCGGGTGGTGGTGGTGCATGCCTTTAATCCCAGCACTTGGGAGGCAGAGGCAGGCGGATCTCTGTGAGTTCGAGGCCTGGCTGGTACCACAGCCTCCAAAAAAATACAAAGAAACCCTCTCTCGTAAAAACAAAAAAATGGCCTCCCAGAAACATCTGTAATAATGTCTGAGCACTGCAGTCTAGCCAAACTGACACATCAAATCTTTAAGTTCATTGATCATCTCTAACTAAGATGCTCTGAGTTATCATTTTAAAAATATACTGTAACAAAAACAAATATTATAGCCACTTTATTTTAGATCTTATTTTTCCCCTTTGCATCAACTTTATAAGTATCCATTTAAAGGGCGTTTAGAAATTGCCATTATTTAGTGTCAAAAAAATCACAAATAAAAGCACCGTAATTTTCATCTCAATGGATAATGCTGTGACAACATAAACATAGAGAATATACTTTTTGAGATAATTATCAAATATAATTAAATGCCAATCATTAATTAGCTTAAACATAATAGTGTTCTATGCTATGATAAGTTTCACTGACATAAATTTATCCATTACAGTGTCATCTATAATATAGATGAGTATTTGAAGTACAATATGACATCTTGGAAGAAATGGATCATAAGCTCTTAACATTACTAACCCTTACTAGTTTTCAAACACCAGAGACACTAATAATCTGCACCAACTGGAAAAGTTAATCACTCAGTGTTTTTTTTATTCCGGGTGCAAACTGGAGAAGTAATGAACTGCTATACATTCTTTGCCCATGGCAATGAAGAGACATGTTGCTTGTCAAGAAAATCTTCCTCTTCTTCATCCGTACTGTAATCACCAAGTGACAGCAAAGACTGCATTTCAGTATTTCTCCCAGAAGAGCTGAAAAAGCATTAGAAGATCAATACACAGCATATGGCACCATGTTTCCTCTTTCATTTGTCTTATGATCAATACTGTATATGTTGAAGTCATTGGAAGCAGGCTGAATGGGGGAGTAAATTTTCATGCAGCTAGGATATACTAAGTCTCCTCATAATGACAAAGTCTCATCACCTTCCCCCTTCCAAGAAAAAAAAAGCTACAATTGTACCAAAGGGAGAGGATATTTATGGGCTACAATACTGTCCTTCCCTGATGATTTAGAAGGAACTTCTAAAACCTGCAGAGCTTCAGGGTCGTCATTAAGAACATCCATCATGATATTGGCTGCTTAAAAGAATCCCAATAAATAGACATTCAGATAAATCACTCCATTCTGTACAGTAAATTAGGACTATATGGATAGTCACTTGAGGCAAACCAAAGCTAAAGTTCAATGACACTAATTACTTGCCTGGTTTTTGTTCTTGTGTGATTTGTTTTGTTTTGTATTTTATCTGTAAGTGGGCATGGACTGCCAAAAAGTGTAACAACGTGGGTGTCTGTGGCTTAGAAATAAACATAGCTGAGGAGAATAGAATTTGTATTGAAATACAAAAAAATTCAAGAATGTAGGCAAAGTTTTTCACTTTCAGAAAGATTGAGTTAAAAACTCTTAATTCCCTTTGAGTTGAGCTTTAGACGTCAAGCCAATGCTAGGGACTTTTAATCAGAGTTTTATTCTTAATTTATTTTCTTATTTCAAAAGGAGGGATCGTCCTTTAAAACTGCCAGGATCACCAATAGACAAATTGACTGCTTGGTTGAACATGTGTCCATTTGGCCTCTATATCTCTTACTATTTGCAAAGAAGAGTAAAATTGTGCAAATTAAAATATGGGTAAATGTCTAGAATCAATTCTAAGTGGAAAATCTTTCCAATAATCTAGTCTTTAATTTTTACATTGGGTAAGGGTCTATTAATGTGAATAGCAGAAATGTAATATATTAACTAATTCAAATAAGAGAAGTGCATTTCAGTATTATATTCGGTGACTGTTATTTCCTTTGTCCCCTTCTAATCACATACTATATAGCAGAGCAATGTCTTCAAATTAATGTAAAAATTTTATAAGCCTTTTATTGACTCACAATAATAGGTCAGTGAAAGATACAAATATTGTACAAAAATAAAAATGGTCAAAAATTTCAAACACATGGGCAAATTTTCTTACATATTGAAGAAAATTGATTGGAACTCATCTAATTCTTCTATGTGCCATTTTTCTGTGGGAAGCTGTAGGTTTAAATTACCTGATCTCAATTTCACAGGGTTCACTATCACAAGACATCTCCAGGTCTTCAGACATCTGACAGACATTCAGAGAATGGTGGGTGAAGGTCCATAACTCTTCTGAGGGTAGACTCTGAAGTTTTTCTGAAGGTTCTGAAACATGTTAATCCATGTATCACTAGCACATACATTCAAGAAACATGTGAACATCATACGGTGCTGGAATTTGCCAAGAATGAATGACAAACAACACAAAGATGTTCAACACAGATGTGTCACCACCCAAAAATTCCTGAATGCTTGAGGGATGGTGACGCATGGTGTGAAATTCCATGAAGCATAGGTTAAGGGATACAGGGCATGGTTAACAGGTGCAAAGACCTGGGTCCAATCACTAGCACCAAAAGGAAAGAAGACAAAAACAAAGTGGGAAAAAAGGGAAATAAACAAAGGCACAGTGTAAAATCACCATAATCATACTGATTTTTGAAATATCCATTCTACTTGTGAAAATTCACAAAATTCAAAATGAAATGAGTAATTCTCTGTAGTGCTAGATTAATATTCAGTTCTCAATTTGCCTGCACGTTAGATACTTTATTGTGTGCTTGTTTGTTCTGCAGTGTTCTTTCTTCCTTTCCTGGCTTCTTTGTTTTGGGAAAATTGTCATTTGTATTTGAAGAAAGGAGAGAGGCAGGTAAGCCTTAAGTCTTCTCCCTTTTCATACTGCTGACCTGTGGTTTGATGGCCTACGTGTAGACAAATACTGCATGAAAAAAGAAACAAAATAAAGAAGCAAACAAAAACCATGATTGTTAAACAAATTTATCTATATGAAAATTATTCTAAAGCCAAGTAGGGAAATAAATATTTGTATGAGAGATCTCAATGTGTTCTTTCTGACACTGATGCAACTGTCTTTTTAAATACAGTTTCTACATACCCTAACTTGACTCTATTTGTAGTAAGGGATTACCTTGAACTTCACCTGCCCTTAACACTACCAGTTGAATGTGATCATTACAGATGTGAGTTATTATGTCCTGTTTATGCGGTATTAGAGTTAGAATACAGAGTTTTGTGTATGTTATCACTCTATTTTAGTGATATATTATTTATGATTTATTAATGCTTTACTGAGAATTCAGAAAAGCAAAATAAGCCACAAGCAATAGAAGCCAGGCAAACACTAATCCCACCAGCCAGAAGCCAGGAGGTAGTAGTACACTCCTTTAATCCTTGGACTCAGGATTAAGAGATGGAAGGATCTCTGTGAGTTCAAGGCCATGTAGATCTACACAAGAGTGAATCAGTCTAAAAGAGAATTATAGCTCACACCTTAAATCCCAACATTAGGGAAGTATATAAGACAGAAGCAAAGTGTCAAAGAGGCATTCATTTTCCAACCATGCTGAGCAAAGGTTACAATATGAGGCTTGGTGATAGCTCCTGGAGACAGGACCAGTCCATTCAGCCTGAGGTAAAGGCAAGAGCTAGTAGCCAGGTGCTTTGCTTTTCTGATCTTCAGCTTGAAGTTTGAACACCACTATCAGTCTCTGGGTCATTATTAATTATTTTTACCCTCTACCAACTGAACCACATTCCCAGCCCTTTAAGCCTTCTAAGATATTAAAACATAGTATTATGACTACTCTGGCTGTTACCATCATTGGGTGCTTTTCCTTTTACAAACATGTCAAACAGTTAACCTCCTAGTTGGAGTGAATAAACACTAAACACACAGTATTCTTACACTAGAGTTAAAATTATTTAGTTTTTGATGGTCAATAGTAACTTTGAGTTTTTGAGCAAGCAGAATTCCCCACTAAAACTAATTTGCATTGTTCCCACTGAAAGACAGACCTCAATATATTTACAGATTGAAACTTCCTAAAAATTATTTAGCTCAGTGATTTTCAAATTATGATACACTTAGATAAATTAAGTCCGAGATGAAGTTCTTCCCCCACAATCCCAAAGCAATCAGACAGAGTCACCTAATCTCATTTATATTTGAGGACTGTTGATAAGATTTACTATGAAACAGAACTCCTTAAAGTTTGGGTTATATTAAAAAAGAAATACCACCACTCTCACTTATTAGATTAGAAAAATGAAGACCCACAGAAAAATAGTCCTTCATTATACAATGAAAATTGGTCCTAGACCTAAGTTCCTTTAACTCAAGTGTCGATGCTACAATATTTAATTATTAGATTTGAACTGTTCTGTTCTCCCCAGTCTGCCTTTGAGCTGAAAGGACAACACCCAACTCGAGACAGCAGTACCAAACAAAAGACTGATATCACTGCAAAGCAGATGGCTTCAGATATCCTTCATCTCCAGATGATCAAGAAAAGCAGAAAGTCACATATAAAAGATGGGGCATTAAGACTGGCTGTGGGAATACAGAAGAACCCAAGAATCAGTGCTATGATGAAATTATAAATGAAAGATTAACTGTAAGCACTATATGCCTGAAATCCCAACACTGGGGAATTGAAGGAAGAGGCGGTAAATATACTTAGGTACAAAAAAGACTGGACTACCTAGAAATCTTCAGACCAGAGGGAGCTATATGGAAAGACCTTGTGCCAATAGTATTATTAATAACTAAATTTAACTTGACATAAACATACATTAAGATCATAAAAAATTCCACACAAATTCCTTGTTTAAAAGAAATAATGAAAACAAACTTTTTTATGGTTTTTCAAATCAGGGTTTCCCAGTGTAGCTTTGGAGTCTGTCCTGGAACTCGCTCTGTAGACCAGGCTGGCCTGGAACTCACAGAGATCCATCAGCCTCTGTCTCCTGAGTGCTGGGATTAAACACTTGTGTCGCCACCACCCAGCCTGAAAAATCATTAACAACAGCAAAACTAATCTCAATAATCTAACATAACAAAGCAAATTAAATGACCACTTGTTACTTAATTGCATCTTATACCATAAAATTAGTGAGCTTCAATACAAGTGTAAGTTAAACATGTCCTGAGGAATGTAGGATCATCTTCATCATGGTAACTGACTGTCTCTGATCATGGAGCACACATGTATAAGAGGTGTTCTTGTTCATGGAGGTACATACTGACAATGATTTTTAATAAAGTCTATCTTTCTGTCCTCTGTCTTTCTTCTTTTGCTTCCTCTTCTTGTCTTCCTCTCTGTCTGCGAACATACACATATACAGAAGCTTTTTGCTTTTTTCTTCTATTATTTTACAAATTTTCTAAAAGTCTGAAGTTACTTCTGTCATTTTATCAATAATATCAAAGAAAAAGTGAAAGTAATATTATTAGAGAACTGGTTTCTAAAATCCTGATAGAATATAATCTTTAAGAAAAGCACAGCAAATGCAAGTGGAAATAAAAAAAATGTAAAGCAACCATGATGGCTGTTCTTGGCTCTTACCTTGCCCATATCTGGATTTATCCAAAACAACTATGAGAGATTTTCCTTGATTGGATAATTTGCAATAGGAATATCCACCATATTTAAGCCTAGGCCACACCTTTTGGTGGCTGTCCACTTAAAGGATATAGAAGAAGAAAGTTCTCGTCCTTTCCCTGCTAGCCCTCACTCTCAATAAGAAGTCCATTCCTTCACTGGCATTAGAGCCTACTTCTTTGGGATGCTTGCATATTTTGCAGACCAGCTTGCTACATTCAGTCTTGTGGACTGAACAATAGTCAGAGTCTTGGATTTCTGTGGGAAGATAGCCACTGGGGGAAGGCTAGCTAATACAGTACCTGAAGAAAATATTGGAAACACACTTTTGAAGACTTAACTAAAGAAAATACGTTCCCAGCAGGAGAAAGCAGATGGTAACAGAAAAACAATTCAAAGATACAAAAGCAGAATATTTTTCTGAAAATGAGGAATTTATAATTTATTTTATAGTCTGAAAGAAAGGCTGTCGCTGAAATGGAATCATTCTGGCCCTGTCACTAAGTGGCCATGAACATGAGATGAGATAGGCCACGGGCCTAGCAGAAATGTGATTAGAATACAGTCTATGAAGAAAAAACAGCTAAACAAAGAAAGTCTAACATACTCTTCAAGGAATGTGGTAATATATTGTTAATGGTCTAACAAAGCAAATGGAGATCAAAACCCAAAGCTAGCCACAGCCATAGAATCAGGTAGTGGTAATGCACACCTTTAATCCCAGGATTCAGGAGACAAAGGCAGATGGATCTCTTTTTTCGCAAGGCCACACTGAGCTACACGAAATAGATCCAGTCTAAAAGAAAGACAGCTCACACAAAGGTGATCTCAGCACTTGGGATCATACGCCTTTACTCCCAGCACCAGAGAGGTGGAGACAGGAGTGACATGGCTGAGCAGAGAAAGGAATATATATCAGGAGGAGACAGGAACTCAGAGGATTACAGTCTGAGGTTTGATGGAGAGCACTGTACTCTGAGGATTCGTAGAGACAGGATCACACATTTTGGTCTGTGGTAGAGGTAAGAGCCAGTGGCCTGGCTGTTTTGCTTCTCTGATCTTCAGCTTGAACCTCCAAAATCTGTCACTGGGTTTTTATTATTCATGTTAAACAGGAATGAAGAGTAAGAAAGAAATGGTGAAGTTGCATCAGATTATGTCACACCGGAATCCGGAGTCAAGAAAATCCCTGTGGAAGGTTTAAAAGAAAAGGCACCAGGCTACTATTCTAGGATGATAAGTGTTTCAAATATAAAGCTCTCAGGGAATTCTAAACTGGAGCCACTTCAGGTAACAGCAATATAGCTTTCTCTGCAGGGAGAAACAACAGAACTATTAGTTTCAAAAAAACAAAACCTCAGTGGAGAAACAAGGACAGAAGACTGTGGAGAGATGCCTGTGACTGTGTAAAGGAGAGAAAATTCAGATCCATCCGTTCCATACATTTAAGTGAGTAAGCATGACAGACAGACTATGCAGCACAGCAAGCTGACTCTCTTGCACGGCAAGTTGGGAAATCTGAGTTGGGTTGAGCTGGAGAACCTAGGTAAAGTTGTAATGAGGAAGGTGACTTTGCAAGGTTGTCCTCTGACCTACACAATTGGCATGACATACTCGCCCTCCCCATTCTCTCCACATCACGCATATGCCCAAGAACACACAATATATAAAGAAACATTGAAAACATTCTAAAGACAGAAATTTTCTAGACAATCTTTATAGAACTTTCTCAAGATAAATGATAGGCCTTTGGGTTAGGACAGGGAACTTAATCCACAGGAAGTTTGACCAAGAAAATAAGCCAGAGGGGAATCTTGACAAGATAAGAAATTACAACTCACTGCCATTTTGAATAGCATGTGATTTAATAAAGCAAACAAATAAATGATTCTTTATCTTATATTTCAGAGGTGAATTAAAGTCAAAGTAACGAAAGCAAAAAGAAACAGTTGCCTAGGTTTTTCTCTAGTTTTCTTAAATATTAAGAAACATGCACAAAAATTTAAAAACAAACTGTAAATATTCCACTGTTTCTTGTATCAAGAGAATAATTGTATATAGATAACTAGGCAGTATTCTGGTGACAATACTTCTCTGACATGAACATTTCCATCCTGTTAAGCTCTTAAATCTATATGCCTGTCTAACTGCAGGCATATAGGTTTAAAGTATAAAGTATTGGGAATCTGTTTTTTATGAAATTGTACTATTAACTTGTTCCTTTCAACCTGTCCATACATCTCTGTAAAGGTTTTATCTCTGGTTTCAAACCTACCCTTTTGGAAGGAAAAGGAAATCTCAAAACCAAGGAGAAAGCTACAAGACTCAAGAAGATCAAAATCTCAAAGACTCACAAGGTCTCTCCAAACTTTATACAAGCAGTAAAGAATGTCAGTGATGGGACGTGCCTGGGAGCAGAAGACTTCTCAGTGAAGCTGCCTGCAGGCTGAGCAGTGAATTACAGTGAGAGAATGCGGGTAAATATTCACGCTTTACCATATTTCAATTACTGAAGTCACCCTTATGCCTCAAGTCCCAATTAACCTCACGTTTTAGCAGTATGTGGATAGTACCACTTATATAGTCTGTCACTTGCTCCTCTCTCTGGGGTGAATACAAATAAACTCCCTAGTCAGAGTGATGCAACATCCTTACAAGCATTCAATCTTATCTGTATACTTATGATACACACATATTTAAAATGACATTCAATGTAGTTAATAGTGGCTTTTTAAGAATAATAAGATTTTGTGATGTTACAGGCTTTTTTTCTTTTCTTTCTGCTTTATGGCTTACATTTTCCTCTTATTGCCTGAATTTTTCAAAACTGAGTTAGTTTTTTTTAGAAAAGTAACAAAGTTGTCTAAACTTAGTAAGGAAGAAAGAAGGCTACTAACACAACATGCCAGAATTGCAGGGTTCAGAGGAGCATGAAATACACAAAAAGCCCACATAATTTTCTGGCCTCTGCATCTACAGCGGGTTTCCAGCTGTGAACGACTTTAAGAGGATTGACTCCCTGATGTTTCCTTACTGCTAGACACTTGCAAAGTTAAAGAATAGGGTGGCCCTTTGTCCCAGTCTTGCAGCAATTGAGGTTGAAAATAGAATGAGCAGGTAGGATTCCTTTCCCGACTGTTGTTACCATCTTGGTACTGGCTCAGTACTTGTTATATGCAAAGACACACTGAATCAGTGTGTATCTGAAGAAGACCCCAGAGAGGGCATTCTATATGTTGAAGGTTGGCATGGCGTGCTTTAAGAACCCTAACAGCTCAACTTTCCCACAAGGATGCTGGAGAGAGGATTTCAGAAAGATGAAGACATTAATCCTTCATTGCACTCAAAGATTTTAAAAAAACGTTTTCATTCTTGAACTAGTTTTTCATTGCATTTTGTTTGTATGTGTTAATATACATATGCACATACCATGGCATACATAGGTTAGGAGGTCAGAGAGAAACTTGAGGGACTCCACCATGTGTGTCCCTGGGACCAAATTCTGTTTGTCAGTCTTACCCAAGTGGCTTTATACATGGAGACAAGCTGGCCTCAAATAAGAATTTTCTCATGTCAAATATTTGGGTGTTTTTTATGCTGAGGAGGATCAGCTTTTCTGTGGGTTCAGAAACCGTATATTTTATGCGTATTTTTGTGTGGCGTTGGTGATATCTAAGGGAACAGACACACAGGAATGGGATGCCTTTTTCATTTGCTTGTTGTAGAGGGCAATGCACAGACCTTGAAGCAGAGAACAGAGCTGGCATTTTGTAAGTAATCATTTACCTGAGAGTTTTCTTAGCACATTCAATTCTTTCTCCAAACTGTCTAAAGCCTGTTGATCTGCCGTGTAATCTAAGAGAGGCTCGTTCTGGTAAGTGACATCAATGTACTCAATTTCTGAGATTTCGGAAGCAGCTCTGGATAGGGAATGAGCAGCTGCACTCCTTGACCGGGGAGAAGAGGACAAAGGGCAGCTGGAGCCTCTTCGAGCAGAGCTGGACACAGGGAAGTTCGCTGTTGAAGGTCTCTGTGATTTCTGGCCTACAAGAAAAAAAGGAAGCAATCAACTGCTTTAAGATCCCAAGCATTATTTAGGAGGCCTGGGCAATCTATGGGGCCTCTGGTAGTGGATCAGTATGTATCCCTAGTGTACAAATGGGCTTTAAGAGCCCATCTAACATGGAGGGATACTCTCTCAGCCTAGACAAACAGGGGAGGGCCTGAGACCTGCTCCAAATGATAGGACACAGTTTGACAATATCACATGGAAGGCCTCACCCTCCCTGGGGAGCAGAAATGGAATGGGATAGCCAGTTGGTGGGGGACAGGGGAAGAGGGGAAGGAGAGGGAACTGGGATTGACATGTAAAACAAGCTTGTTTCTAATTTAAATTAAAAAAAAAAGAAAAAACCCATACCATGTGTGTTTTTGTTGGTTGAATTTAGTGTGTTCATGCATGGGTATGTGCAAACGCACACAAACATGCACACATGTTGAGGGAGACTGGATTTCTCACTATCAGGAACACCATCTGCCTCATTTGAGAGAAATTCTCCCATTGGCTTAGGTTTAAGTTAAGTAGTTAAGGTCCGGTGTTTGACCAGTGAGACCCAGTGTTGTGCTCATAGCCAGGATCCCAGCTCCCAGGCCTGGGGAAACAGGCACACACACCATCATGCCTGATGGTTTTAGATGGGTTCTAGACATCAAACTAAGGATCTTGTGCTTAGAAGACAAGCACTTTACTGACTGAACCATCGACTGTACACCACCTCCCAGTGTGTATTAACAATACTAATTACTAACCTCCTGAACACAAAGCATCCAATAATACTGGTGGCTTTGACCTGCCATTTATTTGAGCTATCTGTAATTAATTAATCTCAAATTACATTCACAGTGACTTGCAAAACTCCCCTGAGTGATTTTTCAGCACTCAGGAAAAGGAGAACCTAATTTTAATAGCAACTAAAGGAAAATATGCATCTGTCCAGCCAGCTACAGAACACTATAGCACACTCTCTCCTTTCTAATCTGTTCAATAGCCTGCCACCCTTATATGTTCCTTGAGTTCTAGAAAAATACCACACTGTACCTTTAAAAAGGGAAACAGAATAAGCAGGGTTTACTCCTATAGAACTAACTTATCATAATTTTATTACTTATTTTTAAATATGGAGACAAACAGGCTAGTGTTAAGGGCTAAGCTAGTCCAGGACTTACCCTGAGGTCCTGGTATATGGAGAAGGAACTTAGTTCCTTCTCTAAAACTAGGTACATGTTCAGTAATGCCATTTCTAGCCATTCGTGGAGCTATAGCTTTGGATCCTGAGAACATAGCTCTTCACATTTTATTATGGTCTTTTGCAGACTTTGTCCCAATTTTTGCTTTGCATGAAAACTGTGTGATGCTGTAAGTAATGAGTTTGAGCAAGACCTTCTAGTCCCCCATTTCTCATCTCCTTTATCATCATATCCCTGTTTCTCCCCCTTAGGAGCTTGTCACTGAAAAACAACCTGCTGGTCCAGGACAGTATAGTATGTGAAAAAGTATGTTAAAAAGCAAATGAGAGAGCATGCAAGTTTTGTAAATCGGAATACCTTCAATGATACTACCTACTGACCCTTCAGTGCAGTGGTCCCAGAAAGACAGACCCAGTCAAGTGACTACTGTCTCCCACTGGTGAACCAGAGTTTTCTCTTGATTCACTTTAGAGGTAGCTCAGTTGCTTTCTTCAACATGTGAACATTTTGTCTCAGGAAGACAGGTGATGCTTTAAATTCTATAGAGTATAAGTAATTCCTAATTTTCTGTTTTTCATAAAAGATTCTTTAATAAAAGCCATGGGAATTTTCAAGGAATAGACTCAAAGATTCACAGGACAGGTGCATTGCTTTTGGGTACCTTTGAATTTATTGAAGTGTCTTCAAATCAAACATAAATAATATAAAATGTAAGTTTGTAACCTCTTGAAACAAATGAGCTTTCCATACATCTTTGAGATATGCAACTTACATTGTCATATAAATCATGATTGACTGAACAGATCCCAGCAACATGTCATACAGAATCAAAAGGAAATTTACAAGTTAAAAGAAAGCAACTACGGAAGTCACCCTGTATAAAATAATGAGTTTGTCTTCCCTAGTTACTCACCTTTTTGTTCTATATTGAGTATAGAGAATACCCTCATAAACCTTTGGATGCAACATGTAAACAGCTAATTAAACCTCACTAAGGTAACACACTGAGGGTAATGATTTTAATGAACACTGAAGAAACCAACTTTAAAAATTACTTTACTACATGCAAGTATAAATAAATCAAGTCTCTGACCCTTTTGTGACTGTGTGCAAAAAAAAAAGTTCTGAAGAAAGGTAATCAACAGGCATATGTCTATATATTGATTCTTGTTTAAATTCCTTCAAGAATTATTTTGATGAGCACAATTGTGGTCTCCCCTTTATAGAATGTGGAATGATTCAATATGTTGTTTGTGGACAGTAAGAAAAAGCGGCCCCCCTCCCCAGAATTGTGCCATGCCCCAACAGAAAAGCAGCTACAGCAGTAATTCTTTACAGAAATCAAATGTCCAGGATACAATGTTCTTTTTTTTCTGGATCATGATGTCTCATCAAATGCAAAATTTAAAGCAATTTATATTCCTTATTCAAATGCATCAAATAAAAGAATGGAGTTATTACTAAGGCCTGGACCTGAAAACAGTGACAACAACAACACAATGAAGTGAAAAAAAAATCTCAGAAAACATGGCTGTCCCTCAGGAAAGTCAGGAGAGGACTGCACTGGCTGGGGCTTCAGCAGCATCTGGTTACCACTGAATTTCAAGCTAACTGATACCAACTGAAAGAAAATGTACCAGGGGGTAGATCACATATGCTTAACACAGAGAAAAAGGACAGACAATCTTCCCTGCTGGAAACATGTTCCACTATAGTTTGAAGTCACCAAAAACACAGAGATTTTATTTATTTTGTATTCCTTCAGGTACACACATCATTCACTTTGGAGTTTAATTTGTGAGCATATTAATATCATTGTTAAGGTTAAGATTCAACACTACATGGAAGATGCAGCTGATAAAAAAATGCCAGTTGAAGTTCTCATCCCCTACTAAAAATGTGCGCGCGCACACACACACACACACACACACACAGAGAGAGAGAGAGAGAGAGAGAGAGAGAGAGAGAGAGAGAGAGAGAGAGAGAGAGAGACTGACTTTTGGACTAACTGATGCCATCACTGGCAATGTTGTATCAGGAAATGGTTAATATTGATTGATTCCAGTCAGATTCTGGAAATAACAAGTTCCCTTTGGTGAGAGCTTAATATATCTACTCTGCGCTTAGTAGTGAAACTACACTAAATATTGAAAAGACAAAACATGATAATATGAATGAACACAAAACTATTCATGAGGTCATGACACATAAATCAGCCACCAAATAATGCTTAATGTAATTGCTGCTGTTAGTTTATACATGACATAGAATTTGATGAAACAATTATAGCATGTGCTTGGGGGGGTAGCATTTTTCTGTCTTTGCGTGTACAGGGGTTAAGGGTCAATACAGAATTCCCTCTTCAGTCATTAATATTTTTGAGACAGTATTTCTCACAGTAATTCAGCTTAGACTGGCTGACCATCGTAGTTCCAGGGATCACCTTGTCTCTACTTCTCTAGTGCCTGGATTATAAGCATGCTGCATTGTTCCTGGCTTTTATATGAGCTCTAGCATTAAATTCATGTCTTCTTGTAAGCATAGAAATAAATTTCTCAACTGAACACTTCTCCAGCCTCCTTGGGTAGCATCTTAGTGACAATATTTTTATCAAAGGAGCTAATACTTTAATAATGAACTAAGTCTGTAAAATTGTAGCACATGTTACTCTACATACTTCTAAATATTACTATTAAAAATAGAAATGTGTTTTCTAAGATTTCCAGGAATATAAAGAACTCTAATTAAACAGCATGGTTTAGTGAGGAAATTCTTAGCTAGGTTTCTAAGAAACTTATTTTACCTCACAGAATTAGACATCAGCTTGTTATGTGACGTATGATAACCCACATGTCGCCTTCAAAATATAGAATTAGGTGATGTAATGTCTTAATTCCATCCAACTATGACAGCCTGTGAATTAATACTTAATCCAATTCAATGATAAAAATCTTGTATTAACTTCTAAATCTGCCATTTCCTGTCAAAATCAAGGTACTGTAAAATGAATCAGGCATTGTCTCTGATGTCAGTTTGCACAAAAATTCCAGAACTCATTTGCAGCACTGAGGGTTCACCAAAGAGTAAACAGGCTACTAATTGGTTTTTGACCAAAGTAGAACACATGAGAAATATAAGTGGTGTTATACAATGACTTCTAAATGGAGAGAGAAAGTGGGTAAAGGACTTGGGGACCAGTAGTATGTAGGGTGGCCTCTGATCTGAGATTGAAAGCAACCCCAGAATGATCTGAGTATGGAGTGGGAGTTTGCAAAGCATCCAGTACGAAAGAGAGAAACACATTCCTAGGCTAAAAATAATCGTCTGATCTGCCTTAGAGCAGAGAGGAATCAGTGAAAGAACAGGTTGGGAGGAGATACAGTGAGGGGAGATGAGGAAGCACTTCAGGTAAGAGTTATTCACCAAAAGGAAGAGGGGTGTGTGTGAGTGTGTATATGTGCATGTGTGTGTGCGTGTGTGTGTGTGTGTGTGCATGCGCACGTGTATTCCTGTGTGTGTGTGTGTGTGTGTCATCTTTTTTATTTATTTTTTTATTTAGGTTAGAAACAATATTGTTTCACATGTCAATCCCAGCTCCCTCTGCCTCCCCTCCTCCCGCCCCGTCCCCTTCTAAGGGTAGCTATAGCATGCTTTTAGGCAATTAAATGCCAAGATCTTTGCTCATGTTAAAATAGAAAGCTCATAAGCTATAAAATACATAAATAAATTTCTGACTGAAAATATAAGCAATCTACTCACTCATAAATAACCACGGCAGGAGAGTTTTGCAAAGAGTA